AGAGTGCAAGTATACATACTACATGACATACATTCGCTACCAGATGTCTTACCTTTTTTGTACTTGATGATATAAGGGAAATGTTTCAATAAATTTAGCCAATTACCATGTCGGCGGTTGAGTTTACCATGTTCCTTTAGATGTTTAATGATTCATTATCTGTGTGGATCACGAACTCTCTGGGTAGGAGATAATGCTGTCATACCTCCAGTGCTCTTACTAGTGCATATAGTTTTTTGTTTTCGGTGGAGTAATTAAGAGGTGTGTCGTTGAGCTTTTCACTAAAATAGGCAATGGGGCGCCCTTCCTGTAGTAGTACTGCTCCTGCATCTATACTTGAAACATCACATTTAAGCTCAAATGTTTTGTCAAAATTTGGTAATGCTAGAATAAGCGCAGTACACAATTTTTCTTTAAGTAAAGTAAAAGCATTTTCCTGTTTGTCAGTCCATATAAATTTTGTGTTCTTCTTAACAAGTTCATTTAAAGGTGCAGCTATAGAACTGAAATCCCTTACAAATCGTTGGTAAAAACTAGCTAGGCCATGGAAACTCCTCACTTTGCTTTCAATTGTAGGCGTAGGCCAATCTCTAATGGCTTTTACTTTCTTGTCATCTACTTCGATACCCTGTGTGCTAACAACAAAGCCCAAAAAGATTAGGTTTTCACTACAAGAGGTTCACTTTTTGAGGTTAATATACATATTTTATGTTTGCAATATCTCTAGGACACTTTTAATATGCTCAGCATGATCTTCTAATGATTTATTATATATTAAAATGTCATCAAAGTAAACAACTACAAATTTACCAAGATATGGCTGTAAAATATGATTCATTAAATGCATGAAGGTACTAAGAGCATTAGTCAACCCAAAAGGCATAACGAACCACTCATACAAACCGTATTTCGTTTTGAAGGTAGTTTTGCATTCATCTTTCAGATTTATATGGATCTGATGGTAGCCACTCTTCAAGTCAATCTTGGTGAAGATGTTTGCACTGCTTAACTCGTCGAGTATATCATCGAGTCGGGGAATGGGGTGTCTATACTTAACTGTGATTTTATTCACGGCCCGACAATCCACACACATCCTCCAAGACCCATCCTTTTTGGGTACAACAGGATTAACACTGCACAAGGACTCAAACTTTCACGAATATGTCCCTTTTCCAACAACTCCTCTATATGTCTCTAAAGCTCCTTTAATCCCTCGTATCGGTGGCAATCCATCTGGTATCTCTTCTGGAAATACATCCTCAAATTCCTGCAAAACAGATAATAGAACAATAGGCAAGGAGGGGTTAAGGTTAATTAAACTCAAATAAGCCTCCTTATTCTGAAGTACAACTAGACTTTGTTTCTTACAATACGCTCTCCTCAACTCTCTCTCCCTCAGAAGTATACACTCTTTTTTATCTTGTTTCTCTTCCATCACTAAGCCTTCTCTTTTCTTTTAGGTCTTTTGCTCTCTTAGTGGGCTTTTTTTTGTCTCTTTATCACTTAGTGGGCCTTCTATTTTTTTTAGGCCTCTTTTTGTTCACTCATTGGGCCTTCTCTTTTTTTTGGGCCTCTTTTGTTTCTTTTTCTTTTTGCATTGTTATTTCTTTCATTGATTTTTTTAGTTTTAAACTGGTCTTCATATACCTTCTTTGGTGTCAACGGGATGAGAGTGTGATTTCGTCTGTTGAAGCTAAAGGCATAGCGGTTCTTAAAACCGTAATCAGTAACTTGTCAGTCATATTGTCATGGTCGCCCTAATAAGATGCGACTAACATGCATAGGTACGACATCACAAAGAACTTGATCATGATACCTTCCTATGGTGAAAGTTATCATTATCTTCTTGTTTGCTTGGATATCTCCATACTCATTCAGCCACTGTAACAGGTATGGGTTAGGGTGCTTGGTACAAGCTAATCCCAACTTTTCAAAGAGTGTTGTGCTGGCTAAGTTGGTGCAACTAACTCCATCGATGATCAAGTTGCATACTTTTTCACCCACAGGACACTGTGTATAGAATATGTTCTCTATCTGATCATACTCCTCTTTTATTTGGATGTTGAGGGCTTTCCTTATAACCAGGGACTCTCCTTGAGCCGCATACTCATTCTCTTTATCCTCATCCTCTAGTGATGACATGCTATTGCTTTCGGAGTTGTTATCAATCTCGTCATTGTCTCTTAACAACATAACCCTCTAATTCGGGCATTGGGAAACAATGTACCCGGATCCTAAACACCTTAAGCATTTGATAGTACTATATTTTTTAGATGAGATAGTGTTTTACCTTTATAGTCGGTGTGGTTGCCTTCTCTTCTTTGCCTCAACTCCC